TACTTACTCTTCTTCGATTTTCACCTTCTTCTTGCCTTTGTCTTTTTCTCTTCTCTGGAAACAAGAAAATGGTCTCAAATTTGGTATAACATGGTTTAACCAGACACAGAATAACTGAAGTAAAACTATCAGGCTATGACTAATATTTCTTTTAAATTACTACAAAATCAAATGTAATAGGTTATTGGTGGAAATGATCTAAGAGGTCATCTCATCCAATAGGTCCGCCTTCTCTATTTTTGTTGGAGATGGTCCTAAAGTCTCTGTTCAAATAACTTTAGTGAAGAAAAGAGTTCTTTCTCACAATTACCTGAGTTTCTCTGTAACTTCTATTCTCTTTTAGTCCTATCTTCTAAATTAAGTTCATCCTTCTTTTCTTTCTGTGTAAGAGTCTTTTCCCGTGTTACTTCACTGTCTTTAGGTTATAAACACAGTGTTTTTCACTTTATGTTCTACAGACTCATAATTCTGGCTGCCCTTCTGTAAACACCTTCTAGTTTATCAGTCTTATTCTTAAAAATCTTACACAGGACTGGATGTGATACACCATATGGGGTCTGATATGAGAGCAAGTGAAGGCTATACTAGCTTATTTGGAGCTGCAATACACTTTGGATGACGTTCATTCATTCAGCTAATGATCACACAAAAGCCCCAGGCCCAGGTAGGGAGAATGTCTAAGAAACAATGTCCCAAAAGTCAAGTTTTTTTCCCTCCATCCTACCATCATTTCAACATCAGTAGATTTAATATATTTAGTTTTGTGATTTGATTCTAGTAGAGTGCCATGTATCCTAACAGGCTGTTAATGATCATCACATTCTAAAAAAATAGCCTTGGCTTGAGTGATTTCCCATGCAGTATCAAACTGATGGTTCTTTAAATTAATGAGTTTTATAATTGTATAGAGCTTGGCAAATATGTTTCAGTGCAAACATGAAAACAATTCCAAGACCATTCAAGGGCATTATTTAGTTGCAGACATACTAATAATTTATGCTTCAGAATTTCTTAAAGACAAATAAGTATTTACATTTTCAATTTTTTTTCTAAGAAGGCTATATGCCAATTTTTAGCTAAAAACTGTATTAATT